GTCGCAAGAATAAAGGTTCTCTCTCTCTTTCTCTTTCTTTAAAACCATCATAGGTCCATCATACCAATGATGGGGTCTTCTCTCTCTTCACTTGTAACTTTCTCTCTCTCTCTCTCTTCAACGAATTTCACTTTTTCTCTCTCATAATATTAGTATAATCTTCATGATAATGGCATCATTATTTTCATAAGAATGATATTCTCATTATTCTTATAATAGTAAAAGTCTTATTAAAGTAAGTGTTTTCTCTTACTCAAAATATTCTCATAAGAATATTATTATTTTAATGATATTTTTCTCTCATAACAATCATGTTTCTCTCTCTCACTCATAATACTCCCATTATTCTCATAATAATGTTATGATTTTAATAATATTTTTATTATTCTCATAATATTGGTGTTATTGTATGAACCACATTTTGTTTAATTGATAGCATACCATATTGCAGGATGTTTCCTTAGTTATTCATTTTTGTTGCATATCATATTACATGATATTTTCATTATTGCATTATATTTATTGCATACCATATTGCATGATATTTTTTTCATACCAAATTGCATGATATTTACCCTACTTGTTCCTTACTGGTTCATTTTTATTGCATACCATATTGCATGATATTTTCATTATTCTCATAATATTGGTGTTCAAGTTTTATTTTTCTTAAATAGTATAGTTAACATGTTAAGACACAAGAATTCTTTATTCTGAGGTTGTTGGGGATGTAGGTGCAATATAAGTAGAAACGTTTTGTAGTGGATCATCAAAGACCACAATTTATTGCATCATCCTATGTGAAATATTTTATAATATGATTTTACATACATTTTATTATCAGTTTTCATTTACATATGATTTCTATGAATATTATTTTGCACTTATGTTATTTATATTGTTTAATGTTATTACAATATTTATTATGATTTTTGTAGTATGTTCTCGTATGATAGTGTTATTAAAATAATTAAGAGACTTATAATAGTTTTCCTTGCTCTCTTATATGAACCTTTTTTTATGCTCCTTTCCCCATAGAAACTCATTTGGTCTCTCCCTTCTACCTTTAGCTGAATACCCTTGATTCCATTTCTACTCCGGCAACAATAGTAACTTATCTATCTCAGACTGACATATACGTAAGTGGCTTCATTTTTCCTGTAAAATCATTGTTTGAAGAAAACTGCTAATTCGATAATGTTCCTAGAGATATTTTTGCATTTAATTATAATATTTCCAAAACTGTAAGTTCTACATATTTTTGTATTTAATCGTAATATTTGCAGCATAAATCCTAGATACTGTAAATATTATATGCAAGTATATGCAGATGTTATGTGCAAGTGTTATGTGCAAGAGTTAGGTGCAACTGTTATGTACAAGTATTATGTGCAAGTGTTATGTGTAAGTATCATGTGCAAATGTTATGTGCAAATAATTACTATGAATTGCTTCATGAGAATTCATATTAATGAATTCAATAATATTTCGAAAATACGGCATTATTGTTCCTAGATATCTACTACATTAATATATGGCTTGCAATTGACATAATAAAGTCTTTTGAATTTATATGCATGACAGTATGACATAGTGATGGCCCTTGTGACTATATGTATAGCATAGAAATGTTGATGTTTCTTGGGATTACATATAAGACATGCTTTTGATAAGATATGTGTGCATGGCAACATGCTTCTGAGAAGATATGTGTGCATGGCAACATGCTTCTAAGATATGTGTGCATGGTAATATTCTTCTGATAAGATATGTGTGCATGGAAACATGCCTCTGATAAGATATTTGTGCCGACAGCTGAGATTTTTCCCTAACTCTCTATGATAGGATGAGAGTTAGGAGTGTGTGTGTTTGGGTGGTCGCTCTCCCAAAATCTGTGTGAGGCACTACTCATTGGGACCCCTTTGGTAGTGTAACGCTCTCACGTCAGAAGGGCACATGAGAGGGTCGTGTCTTGCAAGGCCACTACCTATCAAAAGCCCCAAAGCGCGCTAGGGTTATGTTACGCAACGGATTTACCGGTTGGCGGTGCTTCTTCCTGTGGGATAGTAGAAGTTCTAACCTTGGACTCGAGACCTGGGACTCGAGGTTAGCACTTCTATTGCAGGACTTCTGTTGTTGTGAATGCTTGTTTCATCATATCTGATACTTGATTGTAGTAATGTTTTAAACTACCAAATTTAGATTATTGTTAATCTTGATATGATCATGTGCATATGGTCAATGTATCATGCTTATTTTCTTTGTCTAATAAGGAATACCAGATATGTGTAAGATTAGAAATGAATCTGTATAATAGCATGTATTAGAATGCATGAAATTAATATGTCGAAATTTTGCTTAGTATGCATTCTTTTAGAAAATATTTACACTCTCTAACCATGATTTGTAAGGATAATGATGGTCACTTACTGAGTATCCAAACTCATCAAGCTATTGTGAAATTTTTCAGAGTAATCACAGCCGTATTATTCGTATGTACAACAAGAGTAGTTTGGAAGAAGTTTGTAGTTATGGATAAATTCGCCTTTGTAACTTTTGTACTATCAAAGTTGTATATAAAGCTATTGTGAAATTTTTCAGAGTAATCGCAGCCGTATTATTCGTATTTACTACAGAAGTAATTTGGAAGAAGTTTGTAGTCATGGATAAATTTGCCTTTGTAACTTTGTATATATATATATATATATATATATA